AAGAGCTGCACGATCATGCGCAATGTGTGCAACGAGGGGACAGCCGTGGCAGCCGCCACTTCTTCTCTGCTTCCTCTTGCAGTGCACAAGTTTGCTGCTCAGGTTTGCCCTGTGCCTGTCCGACCGATCATGCGCGAGCGCCAGGTCCGCGACACACACACACAGAAGTCTTCAAGCCGCCACGGTGCCGCAATTCTTTCCCAGGCCTCGGCTGGATGGCACGGCCAAGCCGCCGAAACAAGGACCACTCTGGGCCAGGAGGGGCCCTGGCTTTCAGGCCAATCCTTGGCCCCGGGTCTGGGAACTTATCCGTGTCCGAGGCTCGTCGTGGCCAGCCGAGCTCAGGCGTTCCTTACTTCTTGGCCTTCGTTACGGCAGCACGATGGCCTTGAACCCTAGGCTGCCTTGATGCGCCTGTCTTGCAACGCAGTGAGCACCGCGTCCAAAATGTCTGTCCTGAACACGGCGCGTGTTGGCTCGGCACGCATTGACCCACGGTTTGGCGAACGTGTCGCGCCAGATCTTCGTTTTCAATCTGCGTGCCCAGGCCCCCGACGTCATTTGTTTCACAACGTCGACCCCCGGAGGTGTCGACCCATGGCCCTGGACCGGTTTTTCAGCCTGGATCGTTTTCCGACGGTTCCGAGGCCGGGTAAAGGCTCCCAGAGGCAGGCCGCAAATAGAGAAAAAACCCTCCGTCGTGTTTTTGTCCATGCCCCGAGGGGATCTGGGTGTTGAGCTCCGTGTCAAGACGCCACGGGCTGCGTCTTGCGCATCGGGGCAGCTAAGCTGCACCTCTCTCCTCCCTCAAGCGACGCGCGCCTTCCCCGGGCCGCTTCGTGGCCCGAGACCTCGTGCGCCAACCGCTGGCGCTCCAGGCCTCTCTCGCGCACCGGGCGGGCACCCGCCCGCATACACCCGGTGGGGACCCCTCGACTGGCGGCGCCCGCCTCAGCCGCAGAGGGGGGAACAGGGAGGAGGAGGACGAAGCACCGATGCCGCTGTACCCGAGCCCTCGCTTTCGCCTCTCTGAGCCTCCTGGGGCTCCCTCGTCGCCACGGCCGGAGGAGCCCCGGAGTCCTGGTCAGAGGGCGCCACGGGGAGGGGTTCCCGGAGGAGCCCCGAGATCAGTGGGCTCCTCCGCCTCCGCCGCAGGCTCAGATCTGGGACGGCCTGCCGATGTCCTCAGTGCGAGCGGTGCTCCTCCGGGGCCGCCACGGGGGCCCCAGAGGACCATCCAAGACTGATCCGTGGCGAGGGGCTCCCCCGGGGGGCAGGGGTTGAGGCCCCTGTGGCCGTGTGTTGAGAGAATCAACAATCGCTCCTCCTCCTCCCCCTCCTCCCCCTCCTCCTCCTCCTCCTCCTCCTCCTCCTCCTCCTCCTCCTCCTCCTCCTCCTCCTCCTCTCGAGTCACCCTGAGATCCTGGTGTCGCATTTTTGAACATCGGTCGGTCTCGCCCCAGCCCCTGGACCCTTGCCCATCGATCTGGCTCGAAAGGTGCTGCAGAAAGATTGGGTCTAGGGCTCCTGCCGAGTTCTTGTTCCGTGACGTTGGAGCTCGGCGGAGGCATGCCGATCGAGTCAAGGCAATCAGGCAGGTTGATGAGAGTTAGTCGATGCAGTTTTTAATTTCGGGGGTTCGTACCCAGACAGGCTCGCGTCCTGAAAACATCCAGACGTGAGGTTCTTGGCCGTTTTCGGCTTCCGCCAGATCAGACTGAATCAATGAAGAACCAGCTCTGGATGAAGAACCAGTTCTGGGGAAGAGGTCCAGACCTCCGGGGAGCCACGTTTGACAAAATCACGACGCCGGATGTCTGGGGAGGGGAGATGCATACCGATCGAGTCCAGGCAATCAGGCCGGTCGATGGAAGCACGTCGGTGCAGTTCTCTCTCTCGGGGATTCGTGAAAAAAATGTTCGAAAAGAGGGGGTCGGGGATCGAACCCAGCTGGGTGTTCATGAATCCTTCGTTCAGGGGCCACTCGGAGCGGTTTCCCTCTCACCCCACCTCTGTCCCTACCCCACCCTTCGTCCCCACCAAATGTTTGTTGGTACTTTTTGGGCCAATGTGCCGTCCCTTGCGGGATTCTTCTGATCCAAACTGGCGAGTGACGATGTGCACAAAGAAGAAAGACAGATGAGCGACACAAAACAACGGGGTCGTTTGCGCTGGCATTGGTGCGTAAGCTGCCCGCGTAAGTTCGCGCGTGAGCGCCTTCTTCTCCAAAGGGGCGTACCGCGCTGGCGGCCCGCGTAAGCCAGCGCGTAAGGTCGCTACGTCATCTTGCGTAAGACCCGTTTTCGATCGTCGCTCACATCGACGCCAGTCGATGACCCAGACCCCCAACGCGAGATTGCTCGTTGCTTTCGGCGTCTGGAGGCCCCCCCGGTCAGGTTTCCAGGGCCGCCAGGGCTTTATCGGGAGCGACAGATCGGCCTCCAGGGGGAGCTGTCGAGAGGTCCGTGGACCCCGCAGGGAACAAGCATCTGAGGCCTGGGGATCTCCCTCCCTCCCCTGTGCGCCCTCTGAGGCCTTTGGGGCGTGTGTGTGGGGGGGGGGGCGTCTCCGCGCCTCGATGCGCTCCAGGATCCCGGCCTTGGAGTCCACTGCCCCTCTGTTATGAGGCCGTTGTATAGGAGAGGGAACAGAGGACAGAGTGTTTACACAGTTTGAAGTGCCTCGAAGAAAGCGCGCGCACCCGAATCGCAGACATATGGCTATACTGGCCTGGACTCCAGGCCACCTCCAGGGGCCGCAGGGGGTACGAGCGCACCTTCGCGCGCCGTGGCCCGGGCAGGAGCGCTGCCCGTCTCTCCGAGGCGGCCCCGCGAGGGTGCGAGGAGACTCCTGCGCGTCCACGAAGCCGGGAGAGCCCTCCTCCTCCTCCTCCTCCTCCTCCTCCTCCTCCTCCTCCTCCTCCTCCTCCTCCTCCTCTATCCTGCAAACTTGCCGAGCGCGGGCCCGGGAGCCAGGGCACCCGCGGGGGCGCACAAAGTGCTCGCGCCCTGCGCGTCGCGGCCCTGGGCCGGAGCACACCCCTGGAGAGGCCCCCCGGAGTACGGCAGGGGCGTTGGTTCAGGGATCTATGGGGGGATTCCTGATCCGAGGAAGGCGGCGGTGATATCTACGGTGGGGGCATCGGGGCCCCCACCGTAGACTTGTGGCCCCTCTGGGGCCTTGGTGGGGCTCCCCGCGCGCAATGAGTGCCTTCAATGTGTTTGGGCATTCTTTTCTGCAGGGCAAGCGGGAATGTTCACTGAAAGGAACAGGCTGCCTTCAGTGAACCATGTAAGCCTCCAATTTTTTCGCCGTGGGTTTGCGGTCCTGACTCCCCGCCTCCACACTGACAGCCTCGAGTACGGAACGCGAGCCCCCCTCTGGAACATCCCCCCGTGAGCTCGAGCGACTGCCAGACCCAGCTCGCCGCGGATCCCAAAGTGCCTTCACTTCGATGGCCCTGCGTTGAATTGTGTGTCTGCGTGGGTGCCCTCCGTGACCTCCTCTTTACCCGGGGGTGGACAGACCTCCTACCCTGACACGTCGATTGGCGAATTGGCCGCTTTCGGTCCACGAGAGGGCGTCGCGGCCGTCACCTCTGCGGGTCCAGTTCCGTCGGTGTCGGCCCCAGGCCGTTTTCACTAAAGGGCGGTTTGCTGAAGGGAGGTTTGTCCACCGCCGATTTCATCTTCCTCCTTCTTCTTCCCTCCGTCCGCTCGGCACGCATTTGGCGCGTCCAGGCCAGGTTGGCACGCGTTTGGCATGCCGCTCTAGTTTTCCTTGCCCACGCGCTTTTGGCGTATGGCTGCTTCGTCGCCCATGCGTGGTGCCGGTGCGGTGCCAGGGAGGGCCCGGCAGAAGGGAGGGCCGACGGCCGCCCCTGCTCGGGGCGCCCAGGCCGCCGCCTCGGGGCGCGCGTGCGCTGCTGGGGGAGTCGCGGCGCGGCCGAGCGGGAGCGGCTGATGTGGTGCAGCCAGGGCGCAGCGTGTCAAGCAGTGGCCAAGCGTCCTGGCTCGCCTAAAGCCCTGCCAGACAATGTTCTAGGAACCTTTTTTGTGGTTTTCACGAAATGTTCTTAGAGCATTTCTGGCGGAGCCGTTTTTTTTGTTTTATATATATAACATCGGGTCATGTTCTAAGAAGATTGTTTTTGTTCTTCGAACATTTTCGGGTTCTACGAACGCCTCGTGGTAGGACTACAGGAATGCTGGGGCGGTCGGTCCCTGCTCACGCATGGGCGCCCGCCACCCCTGAGATCCTGGCGTCTCAATTTTTTGTCGAGCCGTGCGACGTCGCCCTCTGTCGAGCTCCGGGGCCCCCGTAGATGGGACGCGGCTCGAGGAGTGGCGCTGAAGGATGGTGTCCACGGCGGCGGTGGTGATTTTCCACGATGTTGCACTTCTTTCGCGTCGTCGAGTCTCAGGGCGGGCGCAGCATGGACGCCCGCCACAGGCGAGCGCACAGGGTACTGGACCTCTGGCGTGTCTAGGGAAATGGAGGCGCAGCTCTGCAGCTTTCTTTTGTCGACCTCTGGAGGTCGCTTCTGGGCTCCAGGGCAGCTGTGTGCTCTCTTTCCTCGATGCATTTTCGCGCCCCGCAGGGCCATCAAGGAAGCAATCCGGGGAGAGGAGCCAGTCCCCGGGAAGCTGAGGAGAGAGGCCTGCGCGCCACGCGCGACAGAATTGCCGTCGGGAGCTGCTGTTTAGCGTATCGCTCCGCCGTTTCTGGCCCACATCGTTCCGGATCGACACGTTATCCACGTCCACATTCCCGAGTTTCAACGCCTCCTGCCTTTCCCGAGCCTCCCGCCCCGGAGCGGAGCGACACGCTATACGCTTGCAGGGCATACGTAGCGTGTCGCCGGGGCCGCCGCCGCGACACGCTTCCCGACCGTATCGCGACGTCGAATGTCTGCACGGGGACAGGAGTCAGAGCAGGAGCAGCAGGAGGAAGCGGAGGGCTCCTCCTGAGGCTCCTCGAGCCAGCAGACACCGAGCAAGATGGCCGGCGTGACTGCCGCAGCCGCTGGCGGCGCCGCCACCGCCACGGGGTTCGGCCTCTTCGGCTACAACAGGCCGCCCCGCTTTGGGATGGGGCATGGGACGCTCAGGAGAAACAGGCCCAGACATCCGATGTCTCGACAGATTCAATGCGGGGTCCCAGGACGTTTTTTCATCACGAGTTGTTTTCTGACGGTCCTGGGGGTCGGCGGGGGCCTCCAGAGCCTGAAAATTGTCAAACATCCTCCGTCGTGATGATTCCCACGATGCGAGCATATCATGGGAGAAGAGGCGGATGAGGAGAGCAGAATAATTCTCACATGCGGGCGTCGCGAGGTCAAAAACCAGCGACGGGCACGTTCGGCCCCGCCACGGGCCCGGCCTGCGACCCTCACAGCGCGGCTGGCTCGAAGAATGACGCGGCAGCGACGGGGTCGATAGCTCCACCTGGAAGTTTCCCGACAGCAAGATGTTGCCAGAACGTCGGGTCTCTTTGGGGTGAGGTGGATGAAGGAAAGGATCGGTCAGGGGCAAGGTTGGGGGGGGATATGCTCCTCGGGGGATGCATCGTCCCCCAATCGCCCACTCCACGCCGATAGGGGGGATAGGGGACCGATGGCCCACCCCGCCCAGGACCGTGAGGATTCGCTGTCGGGGGGCTATCGCCGATCTATCGGCGATGCATCGCCGATTCAAGCTTGATGCCTTCTACTCCTGAGCCAGGCGCACCCCAAAACGAACGTGCGCGGCGCTAAGCCGCCCTCAATCCGTGGAGCTCTTGCAGATGCTGAAACGAATGTGCGGGGCGCTGCGGCGAAGGCCACCAGGAGAGCCAGAGAGCTCGCGCTGGCCGCACTGTGGCGCGCTGCGGCTGCTGTGCCCGCTCGGAGCTCTGTGCCGCGCCGTCGTTGTGTGTGTGTGTCCGCTCGAGGAGATCAGTACAGTCAAGACGCTGAAATAAGGGACACTTTGGGTTCGGAAGGGGCTTGACGTTCCCTAGGTTCCGCCGTTGCTGTTCCTCTTGCCCTCCTGGGGTACGGAGGCGCTCTTTGGGCCCACCAAGGGGCTCCTTTCCTCATTTAGCGTTCCTTCTTTCGGTGGCCCGACCGTACTTGTGTGTTGGCCCTTCTCTGTCTCCTGGGCGCCCTGAGACCTCAGAGAGCTCTGGGGACCTCTGGAGATCGGCGGAGTTGCCCAGGCTTACCTCCGAAGATTTCTGGGGATCGCAGGCTTCAAGGAAACGGCCTTGATGATGTTCGGGCCTCTTTTCTCTTCATGACTTCACCTAATGGCCAGTGCAGGTCTTCTCGTATGGCGTTCCTGGCCTGTTCGACAGGAGCCCATTCGATCGGTGCAGTCGCGATGTGTCGAGATCATGTGGTCGCGCTCTTCCCGTTTGAGTCCAGGAGGCCACCGAGCGGATCGACACATGACAACCGATCCCGGAGAGAATCGGAAATCATAATCTGACGTCCCCGCCGCGCCTTTGTCCTTGTCGTCGTCCCTCGCTGGGGCCTTGTTGGTCTCCGAACAAAAACCGACCACTTGGTGGTTAGTGTTAGAGCTATGCCTGTGGAGGGGCTTCTGCGCCCGCTGCGAGCTGCGTGCGATGCTCGACCCTCAGCGATTGGATCGCCGCCATCGGCCTCGAGTCTTACACCGAGAACGCCCCTGCTGCACAGATCTATGGGATGCTCGCCGAGCGCGAAGGGGGAGGGGCGGATGAGGCGTTTGCCAAAGCGAGTTCGGCGTCTGCCCTCCGCCGCGCCCCATCTCGGCAGCGCCCCCCCCCCCTCGGCCCGGGAGGCGTGCCGCGCACCTCACGGCCAAGACGCTGAAATCATTCGGGTTCAGGCGGGGCTCTGGTTTTCGGGCCCGGGGACACCTCACGGAGCTCGGAGTCGACGAAGGACGAAGGAGGTGCCCACGTATCTCTGATGGCACGATCTTTCTTCTCGCATGTCCTCATTGTATTTGGGGCGAGCCCCACCCTTTCCCCCCTGTGGGAGTATCTACCCGAGGGGGAGGAGGAGCAGGAGGCCGACGATGGGGTCGTTCCCCCTCTCCCCGGCGGGCTGTCTCCCTCGACCCGCCGCGCCAGGGAGAACTACATGTACGACGCCGAGTTCCGCTACGAGCGGTTCTCGGCAGGCCGCGAGTTCGCGATCGAGCAGATGGACATGTACCGCGAGGACCTGCCCTCGGCGCGTGCACTCGGCGGCAACGCCCGGGAGTTATAACCTTCAGCATCGGCGTCGTCTTGCCCGTTCCGGAAGATTGTCTGAAATACTTGCTTTAATGCTGCCTTTGATCCTGCTTAGTCCGGTTTTTTCTGGCGCTGTTTCTGGTGCAGTCTGGCTTCATGTCCTGGCTCCTCAATGCAGCGCAGTGGCATTCAGTCGTTCAGACGCAGGCCTCCCAGGAGCTGTCTCCTGCAGCGCCCTGGCGCGGCGCAGACACTCTTGGGGGCCGCGTGCAGAAGTGGTTACAGCTGTGTTCGGCGTGGAGCATAAAGCTCCCTGCTTGAAGGGGGTCCCGATGCCTGTAATCGCTGTTTTCGGCTTTTCCCAGGGCCCCCTCCCGGGCCCGGTGACCCCCAGGGGACGATTCGGGATGAAGGACTGGTCTTCGGGAAGAAGCCTCAGGGTCCAGGGCCCGTTTCCCTCAGGATCCGGATACTGCGCGGCAGCATCCTGTAATGATATAGGCATGCCTGCTTATTTCAATACCTGCACACCTACATACCTGCATGCATGCCTACATACCTCCACACCTACCGACACACCCACCTACCTACTGACCGGCCGACCTACCTACCGACTTGCCTGCCTGCCGACCTACAAACATACATACATGCATGCATGCATGCATGCATGCATGCACATACAGGCCATAGGTCTCTGTATGTATACCTGTGTATACATATACACATATAGATAGGTATGTGTCCTAATGTGCCTGCTCAACTTGTTTCGCTGCCAGGATGAAATCGAGACGAGACATGAGCAACCGTAGGAACGATCAGTGATTGTAACTGAGATGCGCCCCAGTCCCAACATCTCCTCGCCCCTGCGTGCTGCTGCTCCTGTGGCAGCGTCTCCTTCTCGCCCCCTTGGAAGTGGCCCCGCTTCGAGGGAAAAAAACATTCTGACCATGACCATGATTTCGCGGGATTCTGTCGGCGCCGATCTTGACCATGGTCCATGATCCATGCAGGACGTCGCCGATTCGCGAGGATTATCCACGAATTGACGGTAACCAATATGAACGGTGACCAAGATCGCCACCGGCGTTTCCACGCTCTGTCTTGGTTATGGTCACCGTTTTCTTGCCCTCCACAGCCGTCCACGCCGGCCGCCCTAGAAAAGAGCGCACCGCGAGGACCTGCGCAAGCTCTCGGAGCTCACCGCGAAGAAGTGCGGGCTCTACAGCATCTTCGCCTCCCTCGGGATGCCCGCTGGGCCAGCCCATGTCTTGAGGTGTCCAATGTTTCCACAGGGTTGCCAGGTTTTCTGCATCTGCATTTTCGGGGATTTTGCAAGGTTTTCTGTAGGTTTTCTGCAGCTTTCGAAGGTTAGCAGGTTTTCTGCAGGAGTTCTACAGTTTTTTTATGTTTCCAGGGCCCGGGGTGGTTTCCATCAGCCGCGCATCGTCGAGAGCGCTTGGGGCATAACTTTACCAGGATCGTCCCAAACGGCCCCGGCGCTCACGGGGTTTCGGTTCTAGAATTTCCAGGAGGAGAGAGTTTTGATTTTGCGCGGCTCGGCTCCCGTGAAAGACGTTTTCTCCCCTCAGGGAGGGCAGATGACGCGGGCGGCGGAGGAGGAGGAGGAGGACGATGAAAGATGAGGACGAGGACGATGAGAGAGGAGGAGGGTGAGGAGGAGAAGAAGGAGGAGGAGGAGGCAAGCATTCATGCAAACATGTAAGCAAGTTAGCTCTCTCACCAGCTGGCAACAACTCATGGAGTCCTGGTGCAAGGCTGTGGCCCGATTGAGCAGAAGGTTCAAGCCTTGCGAACTCTGAGGGGACTAGCATTGTGAAGGAGGAGGAGGAGGACGAGGAGCGAGGAGCGAGGAGGAGGAGGAGGAGGAGGAGGAGGAGGAGAAGGAGGAGGAGGAGGAGGAGGAGGAGCGAGGAGGAAGAGCGAGGATGAAGAGGGAGAGTAGCGAGGAGGAGCCAGGAACGAGGTGGAGGAGCGAGGGGGAGGAGGGAGGGAGGGAGGAGGAGGGAGGAGGAGCGAGGAGTGAGGAGCGAGGAGTGAGGAGCGAGGAGGCGGAGGAGGAGGAAGGAGCCAGGGAGGAGGAGGAGCGAAACGTCCCCGCGCCCGGCCGAGGATGGCGCTCTGCGTGGCCCTCTACTGCGCGGGGCGCCTCGGGCTCCACGGCCCCTCGCCGCCGATGCACGTCATGG